ATACATATATAGGCATATGCGCATATATATATATGTACATATATATATATATATATATATATCAAAATACTAATAATAATAAAACTAACAATAATACTAATAATAATAACACCAGCAGTAATAATAATACTAAGACAAATACTAATAATAATACAAACAGGTAACAGTAAAGATAATATTAATACTAAGACTACCAAACAGCCAACTTAAATTCATATCTACAGCAGCATCTCCGAGGGCCTTTTGCTGCTGCATGTCTTTTATTAAGAAGCAAAATACTATTTAGGCTGTGTCAGTGCATGCATAGAAAGGGAATAACGAATCCCCGTACTTCTTTCTGAGTAGCAGCACCTGCTGTGGGGTGCAGCAGCAAAGGAGTGCTGCTGCTGCTGCTGCTGCAGCGGTGCGTCTCTGTGCATGCAGCCCCACACTCACAGCTCCATCAGAATAACTGCTGTTAAGAAAGAAGTTATTAAGCGTTAGACTCGGCACTGCTCAAGTCAATTGTAGTAGGGGTCCTCCGTAGCTGCGGTGTACATACACCTGAATTAGGGGCCCCTGGTGTTCTCAGGGCTGCGCAGCAGCAGCACCAGCAGCAGCAGCAGCAGCAGCACCAGCAGTGGCAGCAGCAGCTCAGCGCTAGATCGGAAGAGCACACGTCTGAACTCCAGCGCGAGGTGCCGTATACACCTGAGAAGGGACAACTGGTATTGCTTGCTGCAGCTGCACCTGCATGCAAAAAGAGAGGAGACCGCAGCACCATACTTCGTTTGTCTTCGTTCTTTTCTTCCTCCTGTCTCCTCAGTGGCGAGAGAGATATCATAAGAGAGAGCAATATATATATATATATATGAGAGAGAGAGAGAGGAGAGATAAAGAAAAAGAGAGATAGCGAGAGAGACAAACGGAGACAGATGAGTAGACAGAGGTGCACAGAAAAAGAGCCAAAGAGAGACAAACAGACAGCGGGAGAGGAAACGACAGAGACAGCGAGAAGGAGAGACAGAGAGAGAGAGAGAGAGAAGAACAGAGACAGAGACAGAGACAGAGATAGAGACAGAGAGACTGAGACAGGGACAGAGACAGAGACAAGAACAGAGGCAGAGACACTGAGACAGAGACAGAGAGACAGCGAGATAGAGAAGGAAACAGAGAGAGACAGAAGAACGAAGGAGCCTTACGAGGCATCAGATGAGCAAGCAAACAGCATAGAGATGTTTCTTACTTGCTGCCACTGAGGTGGAGTCTGAGTGTTGCGCGCAGTGCGCTGTGGACCGCAGCAGCCCTTAAAGTACTGCCCAATGATGCATGCATCTGCAGGGGGCTCTACTTTGGGGCTTAGAGAGCCTGCAGCAATCTTCTTATCTGCAGCTAAAGGATACGCAGCACTCAGAACTACGTCTACAGGGGCCGCTTCCCTGTCTCCCTCAGCGCCAGCGCCTGTCTCTAACGGCTGCTGGGCCTGCCTTGAGAAACAGGTGGATGTAAAGCAGCAGCTAGAGCTCTGCTGCTGAGCAGGAGCCTCTTCTGCTGGTGCTGCTGATGCTGCTGCGCTAGCTGCTACTGCAGCCGCAGCATCAAATGTTGCAGCTGATGCTGCTGGTATAGACAGCTCGTTCAGTGACGCACCACGTAGAGGCACTGGGGCAAAAGAGCTCTCAGTGTACAGGGGGGCCCCCCCATACATTAAGGGCCCCCCAGCAGCAGCAAAGGAAGGGTTGAGGTCCCTCCCTTCTGTGATGTACACTGTCGGCTTGCCGTCTTCTCCATTTCGAGCAAAGTTTAGCACCACAGGAGCCCCAGTAGGCGTTGACAGTACTGCAGCAGCAGCAAAGCAGCATCAGCAACGCAGCACTAGCCAAGCAGCAGCAGCAAAGCGGCAGCAGCACAGCAGTTCTAACAAAGCAGCGGCAGCAATACTGCAGCAGCAGCACCAAAGCAGTAGCAGCAAGGCAGCAGCAGCAAACCATCAGTCTCTAAGCCGCCGCGGCAGCGAAACAGCAGCTATAATCGAGCAGCAGCAGCACAGAGATGGTATGCATGCATGCATTGCATGCAGACGGGGCTGCACTGAGGAGAGTTTATATCTTTTGCTTTTTTTATTGTCTTGTTTTTCTTTTAATACTAACCTGCTTTAAACTCAGCACCAGAGAGGTCTCGCTCAGGGGGCAGAGTTTGTTCATGCACTAAGACATCATCAATGTACACTTCAATAGTATTCTTCTGCATGCTGCTGACAGTCCCATCATCAGCAACATATCGAATCTTTACTCGAGGCTCAGCAGCAGCAGCAGCAGCAGGAGAAGCAGCAGCAACTCCGGGAGGAGAGGTTCCCGCTTGCTGTCCAGCTGGAGCTACAACAGGCGCAGCTAAGGGGGCCCCTACTTTTGGGGGGCCCCCAGGGGGCCCCGAGGGCCCCATTGAGTCTCCTAACCCTGCAGAGAGACAAACACCACTCTCTACTCAATGTCAGTTCATTACGAGGATACTAACTAGCTGAGGTCAGACAGCTAGCTGGGGTGAGATAGCTAGCCAGTTAACTGTCACAAGCTAGCTAGCTAGCTAGCTAACTGATATTAGCTAGCTAGCTAGCTAGCTAGCTATCTGCCTTGTGTAACCCAGCTAGCTGGTGTGCGCAAACTACCTTCTAAATGATGCGAACAGAGAAACTGCTATGAAGTAACAAGCTGCTATGAGATAGCTAGATTCTATGTATGTGCTAGCTAGCTGCTATGTATGAACTAGCTAGCGAACATCCAAGTGAAGAAGATGCTTTCCTAAAGCCGAGGCATTAACAGACAAACAGAGACGGGAGACAGAGCTGTCTCTTTGTCTTCGTTTGCTGAGGGGACAGCAGCGAGCTTACAGCTTGTAGCGAAGCCCTCAGGTCTTTCTCCTGCTGCTGCTGGGCGCAGCTGTGCTGCAGTTTGAATGGAGACATCCACTGCACGCTGATCTTGGGGGCCCCCAGGGAAGCCTGCAGGGCCGGGCCCCGCTAAGCAGCAGCTGCGGGAGGTGCGCCCGTCCTTCCCGGTGTTGTTTGCTGCAGCAGAACATCTCAAGCACCACACGGAGCAGCTGTTTAGCAGCGCAGCAGCAGCAGCAATAGCAGCAGTGGTAGTAGCCCCACGCCGCTGCTGCTGCTTCCATGCGTTTACCTGCAGCGACTGCAGCTACTGCTGCTGCAGCAGCTGCTGCTGCAGCAGCTGGTTAGGGTCTAGGGTTGTTGAGTGTGTTGGGGTGTACGTACAGAGGGCATTGAGGCCTTGGCGTCTGCGGCGTAGAGGAAACCAGTGGGGCCCCACAGAGTATAACTCATATCTATTTTCGTCTGAGTCAAACAGAGTTAGAGTCTTTTTGCTGGGCTTCTTAGGAACGAGACGAGGAGGGGGCCGAGGTGGAGACAAAGTGCAGCAAGGGGGACATACACTCCCCTCTATCCACGAACCCCGAGACCCCGGATAGTATAAGGGAGGGCCAGGGTACTCCACTGGGGCTGCACAAGCATAGCGCATGCATGCACCTAATATATATGTATATATATATATATATACTGCTATACATGTACCTATATAGGACTATTATCATATATGTAGCACTAGATGTGTATCGATATATATATATATATATATATATATAGAGGTATGTACCGTCTAGTATTTATGGGTGGGTTA